CAGCAGCAGCAGCAGCTGCTGCTGCTGCTGCTGCTGATGATGATGATGATGATGTGTCTTGCTGCTCGCTGCTGCTGCTGCCAGCCATGGTGGAGGACTGGGAACGCGCGAAAGGTAGCTGACCGTCAGCAGCAGCAGCAACAGCAGCAGCAGCTGCTGCTGCTGCTACTGAAGATGATGTTGAACCTGCTGTTGCTGCTCCCGCGGCTGCTGCTGCATCTGCTGCTGCGGTCTTGTCTCGCGCTCGACTTCTTGGTTGAGAAGACGAACGGGTTCCTCGCGCCGCTGCTGCTGCTGCTGTTGCTGCTGCTGTTGCTGCTGCTGCTGTTGCTGCTGCAAGCGTGCGAGTTTTAGGCTGCTGCTGTGCTGCAGCAAGAGCCTCCTTGAGCTGCCGCACTTCCTCTTCATAGCTGCAAATTGTCTCTGAGAAAATTTCGCCCGCCAGCCGCTTCTCCTCACGCAACCGGCATACCTCTAGCTGCAGCAGCAGCAGCAACAGCAGCAGCATGGCATACATGAAAGTACGCCCCTCGAAAGAAGCTCCACACTGCACTGAAGCTGCGGCGGTAGCACAAGCAGCAAAGGAAGCAATAACAACAGCACATGCAGCAGCAGCAGCGACGGCAGCAGCAACAGCAGCAGCAACAGCAGCAGCGACACCAGCAGCAACAGTAACTCATAACTGCTCACCTGCAGCGCATCAAGGGTTTCTCTTGGGGGCTTTGTTGCTTCCACGGGGGACCCGACTCCCGTGGTGCGGTTGAGAGCCATCTGCTCTCAGGCTGCTGCTGCTGCTGCTGTTGCTGCTGCTGTTGCTGCTGCTCCTCTCTATACTGCTGTTGCTGCTGCTGGTTCCGTTGCTGCAGCAGCTACTGTGTTCGCAGTCACCAAGCCACACGTGCCGAAGCGAATGGCCCAGCTGGAACTGCCAAAAGCAAGGACCCAACACTACGTTTTGCTGCTGCTGCTGCTGCTGCTGTGACTTCTGTTGCTGCTGATGCTGTTGCAGCCGCTGCTCCTGCTGCAGTCGTTCAATCCACCGCTGTAAGGGCGGCAGTTTCCGTCACACTGAGCAGAGGCACCGAAGGGGCTGCAAGAAGAAATGCTGCTGCTGCTGTTGTTGCTGCTGCTGTTGCTGGAAGCAGCAGCCGGCGCTGCTGCAGCTGCGGCTGGTGGGCGGTCGTTGTCCCCCGAGCATGCCGAGCCTGCGAGGCAGTGCTGCTGCTGCCGCTGCTGCTGCAGGAATAGACACTGGGGAATATCTAATGCATTTACAACGGCGTCAGCAGCAGCCGCAGCAGAAGCAGCAGCAGCAGCAGCAGCAGCGGCAGCAACGGGATCGCGAGCTCACGGGGCTGCTAGTCGCTGTGACATCTCGCTGATCTCCTCTTTCGTATTATTTTCAATTAAATTATATTTTAATTTAATTTACATTTTATATTAATTTGAACTTCACTTGAGCCCCGATTCACCCCTAGAGGAACTACGGCGGCTAACACCGCAGCGGTGTCTTTACTGAAGTGACAGCAGCAGCAGCAGCAGCAGCGGCAGCAGCAGCAGCAGCAACAGCAGCGCTGCTGCTGCTTCTGCTGCAGGTTGGTAGTTCCACTTTTGTAAGAGTCTAGCATAAAAAAGGTCAAAATAAGTTGAGAAAGATCATAACGAGTGAAAGAGAGCAACAGCACCAGCAGCAGCTGCAGCAGCAGCGCCGACACAGAGAAATGAACAAGAGCCGCGTCGCTTGTGTCTTGGCCTTTTCGCTGCTGTGTCTCTTCAGCAACATTGCTGCTCTCCTCGCGCAGCTCCATCTTCCAAGCTGCTCAGCTGCAGCAGCTAGCTGCGTGTAGCTAGCTGCATCGAGCAGCTGCAGCTAGCTAGATCCAGGTAGCTAGCCGCATCGAGCCGCTGCAGCTAGCTAGCTGCAGCTAGAGGGCTGCAGCAAGCTGCTGCCAGCCACGTGCAGCCTTGCGCCTAGCCACGCAGAGAGTTGTAGGGTACAGCTAGCTGCAGCTAGCCACCGAAAAGCCCACAGCTAGCTACAGCTAGCTGCAGGTAGCTGCAGCTAGCCACCCACGAGCCCCCAGCTAGCTGCAGCTAGCTGCAGCTAGCGAGCCAACAGTTTGCTGCTGGCTGGTTGCAGCGAGAGAGCCAGCAACCCGCTTCCAGCTAGCTGTCAAGAGCCCGCAGCTCGCTTACTGCAGCTAGCTGCAGCTAGCTGAAGCTAGATGCAGCTAGCTGCAGCTAGCCAGCAAATGCTGCAGCTGGCAGCAGCTAGCCACAGCTAGCTCCAGCTAGCCACGCAAGCAGCAGCTCAAATGGCTTCCTTTGCCTGTCCCCTTTGCACCCCTTAAAGCTCAACCGTTCGTCTTTTTTCGTACCTTTTTTCAATTTTTATCTTTTAAATTCTTTTCATTTTCTTTCATTTCTTTTGTTTATTTTGTTTTATTTCCTTATATATTCCCTCATTTCTTTTATTTCTTTCGTTCTTCAGCTTCTCTTGTCTCCTCTTGTTTCCTTCTACTTGCGCCGATCCGCTCAGCACTCCTGCTGCAGCTGCCTTTAAACCCTAAACCCTAAACCCTAAACCCTAAAGTCTTGCGCGCTAAACTAAACACTGAAACTTAAAACCCTAGACCCTAAACCCTAAACCCTCTGGACTCGCCAACACACTAACATATCCTTAATAAAGAGCCGCTCACATCCCACGACCAAACAAGTGCCTTGTGGGGCCCCTGTGGGGACCCACAGGGGCCCCTGAGGGGCCCCTATGGGGCCCCCGAGGGGAACCAATGGGACCCCCGAGGGGAACCTGTGGGGCCCCACAATTCCCCCGAAAAGGGCCCACAAGGGCCCCACAGAGGCCCCCACAAGGGCCCCCAAGGGGCCCCCGACGGGCCCCTCTAAGTCATAGCTAGATGCCCCCTGGGCTATTTAAGGGGGCCCCTGGGGGCCCCATTTAGGGGTTTCACCCAAACCAGGGGCCCCTTGGTGCCCCCAACAGGGGCCCCACAAGGGGCCCCCCAAGGGGCCCCGAAAAAGGCCCGCAAAGAGCTCCCCAAAAGGAGGCCCCAGAAGGGGCCCCAATTGAAATTCCCCCTCAGGGGAAAACGAAAGGGCACCCAAAGAGGGTACAGGGGCCCCCTCGGGTTCACATTAAGTTTTTCAGCAAGTGGCCTGACCAAAGATGCGCAGGGGGGCCCCCAGCGCCTCACTTGAAAGGGGCCCCCCTGTGCCCTACCTGGAGGGGGCCCCCAGGGTCCCGCTTGGAAAAAACCCCATTAAGGGCCCCCCCGTAGGGGCCCCCCACTGGGGGCCCCCCAGTAATGGCCCCCCAATGGGGGCCCCCATTGGGGTCCTCGTACAATAGCGGAGTTGCCTTGTGATGAGGGGCTGTGGCTGATCCTGAATCTGATGCTGAGTTGCAGCGGCGGAAACAGGTCCCCGCAGAGCCTGCAGCAGCAGCAGCAGCTGCTGCTGC